AAGAGGTTTTGATACTAAGCGTCTGGAGGATCCAGCGATAGCACATGCTTTCAGAGAGCAGCTCGAACATGGGCTTATAAACAACCCAACAACAAACAGCGTGAATCTCAGTGCCGAATGAGGTCCAGCGGTTTGGGTGTTTGCTTGCCTCTGTAATGAGTCGCATCTTTAACATGTTGGAATATAAAATGGTCTCTCAGAGTTTATAAAAAGCTAGTAGCGGGGTTATTAATAATAATAATAATAATAATAATAATAATAGTTAACGGTTTATTGAAAGAGCTTGGCAGCCAGAAGGCTGAAAATATACAGTTACATATTTGGGGAGGGTTTATCCTTTTACCACTCTGATGAGCACTTTCTTGTACGGGATACAACTAGGTTCATGCCTTTTGCCCTACACCTAGTCCGATCTTTCATCCAGTGTCATTAGTCCCGTGCGATCTGTACACCATCCAGATAACTAAAACCCTGTTATCCTTGGCTGGGCTCTCCCGCGCTGGCACATCCTGTCAATTCAGGCGCGGCTGCTTAACTGATTTGGGGTTGGTTAAGAAGCATTTGGGACACTAAGCTGTTGCAGTATGACATGCTTTTTCTTAGCTGGCACTGAACCCCATGCTGGGTTGTACAGCAGTGATGTCACCAGTGTGCCCTGGTGCCCGAGAGGAAATAATATCCTCGATTTAGTTCTCAGTAATAATGAAAATCTAGTAAAAGATGTTGGGAGTCGAGACGAACTAGGAAACAGTGATCATAAAGCCATATATTTTGACATAATATGGGATGGCAGGAAGAAGGAAAATTCGGCCTTGATCCCGGATTTTAGGAAGGCTAATTACGGTAGCTTAAGGAGAGACCTAAGGGATGACCCTATGGTCAAAAGATTAATCCCCCCCACACCTCCGGAAACTGTCAACTTAGGACGGGATAACCCCGAATTTAATTTAGCAGCTACTTATGAACAATTTATTGCGACAATCAATAATGCCCAAAATAAACACATCCCTAAAAGAAAATTCAGATCGATACGGAACCAACCAAAATGGATGAATAATAGACTCTTAGATCTTCTAGGGAAAAAGAAAGGAGTATATAGAAAAGTTAAGAAAGGCGAAAATCACTTACTTGGTTACTATCAGAACCTAACAAGACAGGTAAAAACAGAAATTAGGAAAGCAAAGAGAAATTATGAAATCAAGGTAGCAAACGAATCGAAAAATAACCCCAAAGCTTTTTATCAACTGTATAAATCAAAGGTTAGAGATACAATAGGTCCCCTTAAAACTACGACAGGAGAAATGACTGATGATGAGTTAGAAATGTGTAGTACGTTAAATAGTCATTTTCGCTCCGTATTCACAAATGAAAACCTAGCACAGTTTCCAGAAGTTCATAAGGTATATAACGACAGTATAGAAAATATGTTGATGAATATCAATATTACTAGTAACGATGTGCTTAAAGTAATTAACAAACTGAAGCCTCATAAATCGCCTGGTCCAGACGAGGTATATGCTAGAATATTAAAAGAATGTAGAGATGAGTTGAGTAATCCATTAGCAGTTTTATTTAATAAGTCATTAGAATCGGGCCTAGTGCCAGAAGCTTGGAAACTTGCAAATGTAGTTCCGATTTTCAAAAAAGGGTGATAAATCAATTGCATCAAATTACCGTCCCATTAGTCTCACGTCAATCATAGGCAAGTTGCTAGAGTCAATTATTGCTACAAAAATCAGAAGCCACCTTGAAACATTCAACTTAATTCATTCTTCTCAGCACGGGTTCACCCAGGGACGTTCTTGTCTCACAAATTTGCTTAGCTTTTTCTCAGAAGTATATGAAGCGGTAGATAATGATAAGTCATATGATATAATTTATTTAGATTTCAGTAAAGCATTCGATAGAGTCCCTCATGAGAGATTGATAAGGAAGGTAGAAGCACATGGAATAGGTGGATCAGTATTAAAATGGATTAGGTCATGGTTAACTGGTAGGAAACAAAGAGTCAGCATAAATGGATTAAAGTCAGACTGGGGTGCGGTCAAAAGCGGAGTTCCCCAGGGATCTGTATTAGGCCCTCTGCTGTTTGTTATATTCATTAATGATCTTGATTTAGGTATAACTAGTAGGATTAGTAAATTTGCAGATGATACCAAAATGGGGAGAGTGATAAATTCAGACAGTGACTTTGAACACCTTCAAAGAGATCTAGATACCTTACATGAGTGGTCAGTAGACTGGCAAATGAATTTTAATACTGATAAATGCAAGGTACTACAGATAGGGAAGACGAATACAAACGTTAAGTATAAACTAGGTAACACGGAAATAGAAAACTCAGATTGTGAAAAAGATCTAGGTGTATTTGTTAGCAACGACTTGAAACCTAGAAAACAATGTATTAGCGTTCGCAACAAGGCAAACAGGATTCTTGGGTTCATATCTAGGTCTGTGAGTAACAGAACTGCTGACGTTATCTTGAAACTTTACCTAGCATTAGTGAGGCCACACATGGATTATGCGGTTCAGTTCTGGTGTCCTTATTATAGAATGGACATAGATTCTTTGGAGAGAGTACAAAGAAGAATGACAAAATGATCCATAATATTAGAAACCTTCCATATGAAGAAAGACTGAAAAGCTTAGGCTTACATTCATTAGAGAGGCGTAGAGTTAGGGGAGATATGATAGAGGTGTACAAGTGGGTAAGTGGGATTAACAAGGGTAAAATGGAAGATGTTCTGAAGCTCAGTAATAACGAAATAACTAGAACAAATGGCTTTAAATTAGATAAATTCCGATTCAGAAAGGATATAGGATAAGCACCAAACAACACTTACTTCCAGGCCTCAGACAGCAAGCTGAGCGCACACGGCGACTTACAACAGACACCCTCAGAAACTAAGGTTAGAGACTATCCTGGCAGGGTCGCCACCTGGAAAGACCTGGCCTTTGAGATATTAATCCCTTGCCAGCCTAATCAGGATCTTATAAAAAGGAAAGTCAAGAACCATGGGTTTCCAAAAGGGTAACAAACAACCGTTAGAGATTGATATCTCTTTACCATGAAAATAATCATAATAATTTAACTCTGACACCACTCACACAAATATTAAATAAACAGCACTGGATTCAATCAATTACTTAAACAAAACAATCAATACAACAAGGTACAGGTATTTCCTATGGCTGCAGATGAATCTTCCTCCTAACCAGCAAGGTGGAATGTTCTGGTAACGCCGTGATCGGCTCTCAGGGGGAGGTCCAGGGCAGTTTCCTCACTTGGAGCCGGCGTTGGTAGGCGATGTCTTGCCACACAGGAGAGACGCCAGGTCAGGGATGGTGGATAGAGCGTGGAGGAAATGGCGATCACGTGGCAACCGGGGCAGTAGGTGGAGTAGGTGACCGGAGTTGACAGCCGAATAGTGAAGGACTGGGGAATCAGCCCACGAGCCCCAGGAATCTCAGAGGAGTACACAACCAGAGTTGGAATCGAACAGCGGGGTAAGTAACAGCTGTGGTCAAGGCTGGATCGTATTTCTCGTGCGATGGGGCAGCAGCGACCTTCTCACCTCAGTCTCTCCCCCTTCTAGTGGAGCAGCGAACAACCAAACGAGAGGCGGACAACCATCCCGCTAGTTACAGACCTTACAATGACGTCTTTTCGGATTTGACTTACATGTCCTAAATTCTTCATGCTGTCTCTCACAACCACTTTTTTTTATCTGCTTAACTATTACCACAGTAAAAACAATCACTTGCGGTCGCCATACTGATTGTATGCCAAGTAGTTTCAATCAGATAACACAGCAGTTATCTAAGTCATACCTGGAAAATAATTTTTTTAGCGAATGAGGAAAGGCTTCAAAAGTTTTACAGAAATTTGATTGTTATTTATTCGAGTAGAGAATTTTCTGATATATAATTCAACTATATACATTTTTAATGAAAAACTGAGCGTTTTGAGATATTTTCAGAAACCTTGCACGAGTATCTTTTTTTTTTTCATTACACACGAAAAGTTTCCCCCGAATTCAGACATGGGTTACAAAAACACTGTAAAACCTATGGGAAAAATGAATAAAGGCAATCTTGTTTAAAATCATATTTCCAGTATTTTTGTCTCTATAAAAATATTATCATCTGATGCATATTTTAGCCGGAAAATGCGAACAAGTAATCGGACCCCCATTTTGGGTGGCCTTTGGGATGAAAAAGGGGGAATTCTCCCGCCGAACGGAGGGGAACTCCTTTGATATTCATTTCTATAGCCTTCAGGAGTATGTATGCAAAATTTCATCTTAATACAAATTTTTCCACTATTTGCGTATTTTCGAGCAAATTTGACTGGACTACTTGGCAGTGTCTACAAGGTTGACAGTCTATAAACTTGGCAGTGACTACAAGCTTGGCGCTCACTACAAGTTTAGCAGTGACTACAAGCTTGGCAGTCAATACAAGCTAGACAGCCATTACAAAAATAGAGTTTTTTTCTGAATTTAGCTGGCACTACAAGAATGACAGTCATTAAAAACTTGGCATCAATGCTGTCAATAAGTACAAGCGTAACACCAACATTTAAACTAATAATTTCTACAAGAGACTTTCTCTCTCTAAAACACACATTCACAAGTCCCTAATCTTATGTCTGATTCCAGGTCTGGTGAGGAAGATGGCGGCACCGCGATGGTTGTTAACGAGAGCGTCAATGTTCCTGAACGTTGCGTTGGTGATCTGCCTGTTCGTCTACACCTCGCCCCCCACTCCTGCAGACGTACTCCAAGTCAGTTCTCCTCACAGCCTACTTGTGTCGAAGCAGTACGAATCGGCAATAACGTCAAGTGGTGTTACCAAGTTAGCCACTAAGGATCTAACCACCCCTGGTTCAGTTCCTTCTGTCGGGTTGTCACTGGAGACGCCACTGGACTCCCTGGAGCGCAAGATGTATCCAGAACTGCATGAATGTTCCAATTGGCCAAAGCACCCCATTACTTACAACCGAGGTGATTACTGGATTCTGGAGAACTACATTCTTGCCACAGCCTCCTTTCTGTGTAACGAGTCGGTCACCTACAGTACGCATGGTGATTTCACCTACCTTGAAAACCTTAAGATCCTCGCCGAACGCTGGAAGGTGATTCACTATGCTCATAATTTTACTTCTTATTACCAAATCTAAAGTGCGTCTTCACGCTATGATATCCTATAGCCTGTGTGTATGCCAGGTTCATGAAGCTTCTTCCGTATTTAGAGCAGGTTACCGCCTCATAAATGAATACGGGATAGAGTTGTCATAGATCAGATCTTAGTTGTATGTTAGATAGGCCACATCTTAGTATCAGCGATGGTTATGATAACTGTGGCTACACTTCAAGATACAGATTCTGTTAATGGAGTATATTCACTCAAAAAACTATCTTTACATAATTATGTTGATAAAATATGATGGAACGGACAAAGATTTTTGACAATCCTACCGAGACAAAGGAGTCCCAGTGTTCATTCTGAAATTCATCGACCCTACCAAGTACAGAAAGTTTTTGAGTGACTTACACATTAAAGTATAAAATAAAGGTTAAGAAATTTCTAGCTATTAATAGAAAATTACTTAAAAACCTCCGTAAAGTAGACATATACTTTTACTATTGTATACTCGGTCTTGATTATAGGCATTATGGAGCCTAATCAGCAGTAATATCCTTGCTGAAAGTTATAGGCAAATGCTACATCACCTTTAGCTCAAATCATGAGAAAAACTGTAAAAACATTTTCTTTTTTTTTATGTTTCTTCATCGATTTGTTTCAGAAGAAAATTTCTTCCCGGGACAAGGCACAGGAAATATATATTTTTCTTACTTATTTATCATTTTCTTTATCTTTAAGGGCTCTTGCGATCTCCTTTCGTTCCGTCTTATACTTTGTTATTCCGATTTGCTTTCTTTCTAATGCTTCAGGGACCCATTAGTGTGGCGGTGTATGCTCCTGGGGACGACTTCAACTCCACGGTCAACATTATACTTTACCTCCGTGAGTGCTGGGACCAACGCATAAAACAACAAGTTACCTTCCACATTTACTTTCACACTTCTTTTACACCAAAACAGGTAAGTAATAATAATAATAATAATAATAATAATAATAATAATAATAATAATAATAATAATAATAATAATAATAATAATAATAATAATAATAATAATAATAATAATAATAATAATAATAATAATAATAAAAATAATTCTTTAATAAATCTAATCTCGGTATTATTCTTCTAATCATTATATTGGTGTTTCTTACAATGGAGAGCATGATATCATCTTCATTTACTTACCTATTATTTATTTTGTACACTTGTAAAATTATTTTCAGTATCTTTGGGTAAAGCCAGTGTGTGTGTGTGTGTGTGTGTGTGTGTGTGTGTGTACCAGAGTATTGCGTGGCTCCGACCACTGCGACACTGATCATCGGCTCGTTAGAGCTATGGTCCCACTTCACGTCGACCCAAAACGGCAAAGGCAACATGCCTCCAGAAGAGGTTTTAACACTAGGTGTCTGGAGGATCCAGCTGTAGCACATGCTTTCAGAGAGCAGCTCAAACATGGGCTGATAAACACCCAGACAACAAACAACCCAAATTCCAGTACCAAATCGGTTATTCTCAACACTGTCATGCCAAAAATCTGCAGAGACCCTAGGCCAGCTCAAAAGAATACACCAGGACTGGTTTGATGAAAATGACCTGGAAATTAATGTTCTCGTCAATGATAAACGTGCTAAATTAACTGACTGGCAGAACAACCCTCAGTCTCAGATCAAAACTGATACCTTGCACAATAAAAAGCGGCGGCCCAGCGCAAACTTCGCAGACTAAATAACGATTTGGTTTAAAAGTAAAGCATGTGAAATGCTAAGCTTGCAGATCAACACAAGATGAGCAAATTTTACAAGTGCACTAAAACATTTTATGGGCCAATCACTCATGGCACAGCCCCCCTCCGCTCATCCGACGGTAACTCCCTAATTAAAGACAAAGATAGTATCCGTCAGCGTTGGAAAGAGCACTACAATTCGCTGTTCAACCAAAAATGCTGATGTGGATGTTCTGACTACCCAGAACGTCCCTCAGCATCCAGAACTGACACACCTCAGCTATCCTCCATCCTTGGATGAGGTAGCTACTGCCATCAAACAAATTAAAAATAATGAAGCCTCAGGGCTTGATGGAAACCCAGCCGAGGTGTATAAAGCAGGAGGACCTCTGCTTACTAGCTCTCTCCACTCTCTCCTGGTGAATATATGGGAAAAGGAGGAAATCATTCAAGCTCGTAAAGACATACGAACATAAAATAAGAACATAAGAAAATAAGGAGTCTGCACTAGGCCGGTTGCCCTGTGCATGGCACCTCCTGTCGAGAGGTACTACCACTCTATATCATCCATGAATCTATCTAGCCTCCTTTTAAAACGTTCCAGTGTTCCAGCACTCACTACAAAGTTGCCTAGCATGTTCTACTCGTCTACCACTCTATTTTTGAACCAGTTCCTTCCTAATTCCCTCCTAAAACTAAACTTATCCAACTTAAATCCGTTGCTACGATTCGTATCCTGCTTGGATATTATAAGAACTTTATCTATATCTCCTCTATTGATTCCTTAGACCCACTTAAATACGTGTATCATATCTCCCCGCACTCTTCATCTTTCTAGGGAATAAAAGTTTAGTTTCTTTAATCTAGCTTGATATGAAAGGTTAATAAATCCCGGAATCATATTCTTCATTCTTCGCTGCCGACTCCAGTGAATTGATATCGATTCTATAATATGGGCACCAGAACTGAACAGCATAATCGAGGTGCGGCCTGACTAGCACAAGATATAGTTGTAATAAGACCTCTGCACGCTTATTACTTACACTTCTAGATATAAAACCAAATACTCTGTTTGCCTTATTTCAAACATTAACGCACTATTTTCTAGGCTATAGGTCCGGGCTTACAAGTACCCCTAAGTCTCTTTCAGAAGTCGACTTCTCTAGGTTGATGTTGTTTAGGCTGTATACATTGGCAGTATTTGTTCTTCCAATTTTAAGTACGCTGCTCTTGCTGGTATTGAATTTCATTTGCCATTTTCCTGAACACTCCTGCAGTTTATTTAAATCCTCCTATAGTGCATTTGCATCCTGCCCTGAATTAACGTGCCGCCCTATTTTGGTGTCATCCTCAAACTTGCTTATGTCACTGCTGATCCCAGTATCTAGATCGTATATGTAGATTATGAACAAGAGTGGGCCCAGTACTGACCCCTGGGCAACCCCACTGGTTACACAGCCCCACTCAGATTTAACACCCTCTTCGCTGACCTTCTGTGTTCAGTCGGTGAGCCATGATTTTATCCAATTTAAAACTTTATCCTCGATACCATGAGCCTTAACTTTTCTCAGAAGCCTCTGATGTGGTACTCTGTCAAACGCTTTGCTAAAGTCTAAATAAATAACATCGTAATTTTCGTCATTATCTACAACCTCGAAGACTTTCCTAAAAAAAGTCAGCAGATTTCTTAGACAAGATTTTCCATTTGTAAACCCATGTTGAGAGTCGTAGATTAATTTGCTTTTCTCTAAATGCGATCAAATGCTATTTGCTTTGATTGATTCAAGAAAAATCCCCACTACTGACGTCAAACTAATCGTCCGGTAATTTGACGCTGATGCTCTGTCTCCCTTTTTGGTATATGGGTACTACATTTGCCTGTTTCCACAAGTCTGGCACAACTCCGGTGTCTAATGATTTTGTAAATAAATTTACGCGGTGTCCGCTCTGAGTTCTATACTATACTCCACGTTTCTTTTACGTCTTCTGAGCTCGCTGGAGGAAAGGTCACAGCGTCTTAGCTCCCGGGGATAAATTGTCAGTAATGGCAAGTGCTACTTGTGAATAGGGCTGTGCCCTTCTGAGGGCCAAGTTGGAGAGGGCCAAGGAAGATACCTTGAAATTAAAAGAAGAGATAGCAAAGGTGAAGGAAGAAACGAGGCAAGGAAAGCTGGTGAATGACGAAAACTCAAGCGAATGGAAGGTTGTGAGGAGAGGGACAACCAAACTAGTCATGAAAACACACACCAAGGATACGACAACAACGACAACAGCAGCTAAGTGTACCAACTCTTTCAGTCCCTCGATAGATGAATTGGACGTTAGTATAGTCAGGGACAAGGCTGACAAGTAAGGTATAAAAACTTTAATTGTTGGTGACTCACAGGTAAGGTACTTGGACAGAGCTTTTTGCAGTAAAGATAAAAATAGGATGAGGGTGTGTTTGCCAGGGGCTGGGGTGGGGGATATAGTTGACAGGATGGACAATATCTTGTCTGGTAATGGGAACAAATCCATTATCTGCCTTAGTGCAGGAGGCAATGGTATTGGCTGGTGTAGGAGTGAGGAGCTTCTTGATAAGTTCAAGACAGCTATAGAATATGTTAGGTCTAAGGGAGAGATCCCTATCATATGTGGTGTCCTGCCTAGAAGGAGAGTTGGAAATGAATGGTTGTCAACGGCAGTTGGTGTCAACGGCCATCTTGACAGATATTGCAAGTCAATATTAGTCCCATTCATTGACAACTGGGACAACTTCTACGGCAAAAGGGACCTTTATGCTAGGGATGGGGTGCATCTGTATAGGGAAGGAGTAGCAACCCTGGCTGGGACTCTCGAAAGGGCGGTCCAAAAGATGTAGAAGTCTTTAAACTGCTAGGGGAACATGTGAGCACGGGGGTGGCGGAGACTGCAGTGGGAGCGGGTAAACAAAGTAAAAGGTTACAGGGAAATAGTGTTAAGAATGATGACAAAACTGAATTAGACAGCGAGTTAAAACATAAACGCGGCAAAGGATTCAAAACACGACTAACTTAAATGTCTACAACGCGAACAGTAGAAGTATGAGAAACAAAATGAATGATATTAAGGCCTTGGCATGTACCGAAAAATTCGATATAATAGCATTCACTGGAACATGGTTCAACCTAGACTCACGTGAGTTACCTGTCGAATACCAAATTGCAGGTTACAAATTATTCCATACCGATAGGCAGATTAGGAAAGGAGGCGGAGTAGCAATCTATGTCAGGGATAATCTGAAGTGTGAAATAAATCAGGAAATAAAAACTGAGCGGAATACAGAAACAATTTGGATAGAATTAATCGACGGTAGGGATAAATTAATCACAGGAGTAATATATAGACCTCCCAATCTTGATAGAGTTAATGAGCAACTTATCTGGGATGAAATGCGCAGGGCTTCCATACACAACAAAGTCTGTATAGTAGGCGACGTTAACCTTGGCCAAATAGATTGGATTGACCTTACGGGTAACTCAGAATCAGAGGATTTTCTTGAAACGATCCAGGACTGTTTCCTAATTCAACGTATAACCGATCCCACCCACCCACCCGGAGTAATAATATACTCGATTTAGTTTGGTCAAACAGAGAAAACCTCATTATAATGTAGAGGTAGGGAACGAACTTGGAAACAGTGATCACAAAGAAATTAGATTCCAGTTAGATTTTCAGGGCAGCTGTAAGGAAATTTTCACAAAAGTCCCAGATTTCAGAAGGGCAAATTTTGATAGTTTGAAGAGGCAGTTGAGAGAAGGGGCATAACTCTTGGGGGTGAACTACATGGACCTGACGGTTGAAACCGACCTCATAACGAGATCTGAGGTTGCCGAGTTCCACGACAATTTAAATAATGAGTTACTTAATGCACAAAGGCAGTACATACCATACAAAAAACTCATATCAAACAACAATGACCTTAAATGGATAAATAATTACATAAAGAACATTATTGGTGAAAGGAAGGCTATAGGTAGGAGGATAAATCGTGGCGAAATTTACCTCCGGGATTATTATAAGGTATTGGCCGGTAGGGTTAAAACCGAGATAAGGAAAGCAAAGAGGAATAATGAGCTCAGGATAGCAAATGTATCAAACTAAAACACGAGAAAAGATTGGGCCAATACAGTCAGATACCGATGAACAAACTAATAACGATGGAGAAATGAGCAGTAATCTGAATAAATATTTTTCAACAGTTTTCACCACCGAAA